CTGTTCTCTAGGCTGCTTAAAAATGGCTAGTTATAAACATGCTTTTAAAACGAACATTTGATATGTTTGGCCTCTCAGAGGACAATGGAAACTGCAGTATTTAATAGAACTTTGACATGGAATGTGAGCTAAATCTGAGTGGTGATAAGCTGATCAGCACACTTCTATTGCCTGCTGCTAAGTGTGAAAATAACGTCAGGGCACTGCAGTGAGGCAAACGTGGATTGTGTTAGATTTCCAAAGCAGTGAACCCAGAGTCTTTTATACAGAAGCTACTTACACAGCCAATCAAGTTTTGTGAATTAACCTGGACCCTAAAAATGGCCCAATAATAAAAATAAAACACTCTGAAGAAGTCAGTTATAAGTGACCCTGCCAATTTTGAGATTTGATTTTAATGATCATATCTGTGCAATAGATACAACTATTAAACTTGTTCATGAATCAATGTAATATATATTCATATATCAAACTGTTATTCCTTGCTTTCATTTGAGCCTCTTAACTGGAAATGGGTTTTTATAACTGCTCTTATGGCACTATATTAACCCAATGACTGTTTTGACTTGGGAAAGGTGTATGTTGCACCAGGGCATAGAAACTGCTTAGTAAAAAAGTCTATCTTATTAAACCAATTGTTAACTTTTATTTTGTTGCTGAAATATTAATTTTTGTGACATTTTGGGATTTTGCTAAGATTTATGAACATATAATAACATATATTTTAATAGATAACTTTTACCATCTCTGCCATTAAAATTTGCGACTGCTACTTTGTTCTAAAACATATAAAAAAATTTCAGAAATAAATCACTATTTTCTTTCATGTATCTGCTGAAGGCTGGCACAGAATTGCAGTTGAGACACCTACAATAAATGATATAAATTAAGAAAAATTGAATTATGTCTTATCTATTCTGTGAATTCTTTAGGTGGCCATAAAACAAGTTGCCAACAAATTCTTTCATCTAAAATATGAGTTAATATTATAGACCTACCTTTAAGGATTATAATTAGACAATGAACATCCTAAAACGATATGCAAATTGGAATAAGAAATTGTTCATTACTTGCAAAAAACTGTAAGTGTACTGACAGTCTTTTTCCATTTAAAATGAAGAATTTCTCCTGTTGTTGGAGTATATGTATATGTGTAGGGTTATCCGTAGCAGACAAGTAACATGATTTGTGTTTGCTTGACATGTTATCAAACTGCCGTTTTCTCTACAAGGAAGCATATTGCAATGCTCCTCTTCCAATTCACATCAAAATATGCTATTGTTATACCTACAACATACTGAATGATTTGAAGATACCACTTCCCAGTGAAAGGTTCCTCTCATGATCGGTTAGTTAAACGAATCTTGTTATTTTCAGCATGAAAGAGACACAGCTTCAATTGTCTTCTTTTAAAATTTGTGAAGCTTAACTTTGAGAAGTATAGTTAATGCTTCTGTAAAGTAGGTCTCTGGAGACCCCTGCCATGATTTGCCTTGCTGAACTAGCAGTTTGAGACACTGGCAGAAGGTACGGGGAAAAACTCCCAATTGTGGAGGAAATAAATCAATACTAGTACAACTAGATCACTTTGCATCTAGAAGTTGAAACAAAAATAGCAGAGTTATAATGTCTGATAGACATAGTTAAGAAAACAAATTTAAACACAGACACATTGGCTTGGCTTTTATTGGAAAGCCTAGATGCAATCTATAGTCATCAAGTTGTGGAAAACTTCAGGATACATATAAAGTTTGGAAGGCAAATGAAAAGAACAATACAAATTGGACAAAAAATACATTTCAAAATTGCATGAAAACATTTTGACTAGCTTTGCCTAAAATACTCTGAATTTCCAAAGGCAAATTACTTTAATACAGTTTTTCATTTAAAAAAAAATTTTAGTTTACATTTTCCCCAGTCACTATATCATGTAGGAACATTTCAGGTATTTTTTACAGTATGAAAAAGATCTACTAAAGACTTATGAAAGAAGGCTAATTGGCCATCATTCAATTTAAGCCAACAGATAAAAGTTTGGGGTTATTTATGAAAGCACAAGGACACATCAACAGAATGCTTAGTGCTATTCCAACTTGTCATACACCAGATCTGTTGTAGTATTTCTATAGAATAGTATATTACTATATTTCCAGTATGAGCCCAAATAAACAGGAAACCCAGTGCTTTCAAAAAATAATAATAATCCTCTGCAATTCTACCAAACAGAACTAGACAGGCTATGTACTGAGATTTAAACTGAGATAGGAACTAATGGCACTGATCAGCATTTTTTTAATCCTAATTTCTAAATTTGGATTCTTTGTGTGTCTGAAAAATAACAATAAAGCATTTATTTACACTTTAAATGTAATAAAATAATAGCTTTTTTCCCCTAAATGCCTAGACTGTTATTCTATAGCAGTGGTTCTCAACCTTTTTAATGCCGCGACCCCAACCGGTTGTAAGTCGAGGACTAAACTGGTCGTAAGTCGAGGACTAAACCGGTCGTAAGTCGGGGACTAAACCGGTCATAAGTCGAGGACTACCCAGCCGGTCGTAAGTTGAGGACTTTCCCTGCCCGGGAGCGCCGCGCATGCGTGGTTCCGTCCCCTGCGCCAGCCGAGGTGTAGCTGGCAAGCGGCAGAGACGGAGCAGGCCGACCACCAGCTGGCCCAGCCCAAGGGAGGTAAGGCACCTGCCGGAAAAGGGGAAAAAAATGGCGGACAAAAAAAATGGCGGACAGCCTTGCTTGGCGACCCCCATGAAATGGTCGATCGACCCCAAATGGGGTCCCGACCCACAGGTTGAGAACCACTGTTCTATAGGTTGTGTCCAATGGGACACAGGTAAGTAACACTGTGACTTGCTTGATCATTCCATAATTCTTTGACAAGATACATACTGTGTAATTGAAAGCACACATATCTATTACAGAATCTCAGTGCAGAAAGCAATTAGAAAACAATTTAAAAATTCATTTATGTAATTCTTTTACATGTTTCAGATATATTTAACTGGCATTTATATCTTGATTTTTAGCACAGAAAAATGGACTAGTTTTCCCGAAATAAACAATATTTTCGAATATATGCTGCTGAAAATAGTACAAAGGATGTAAGAGAGAAATTAGGCCTTTGAGATTTTTTTCCTTCCCACATATAAATTACGCAATACTAATACTGATAAAAAGTTTAAATGTATTTTCAAATCATGCAACATTCAGCTCAACTGCAAGTAACTTGTATTATCATACTTATAAAAAAGGATCGGGGGATCAAAATATTGTTTTAATGTGTTTTTCCATAAGACAATTACCAGAAACTGTCAATATTTTTTGCACCTGAAGGTTTTTTAAATGGAAGCTGAGCATTTCAAGTTTTTACACAAACATCTGTACTAACAAACTAACTAGAAAAATGTGAAGATAGGCATTACAGAATTTTTAAGTATGTTAAACTTCTTGAGATAGGTATTTTGATTGATTTATTAATAAGAAAGTGCTGGGCCAACTCTGTGCGAGGCTGGCATTTGGCATGAAAATTATGTTCCCCTCTTTCCATTCCAGATTGTATCAATAATGGAGATATATTTAGAATCTATTCAGAAATATTCCTTTTGGTTGCTGTTTCAGGTACTCAACAGGAGAGATCTGATACTATAACCTGGTTTAAGAAAATTATACATGGTTTATATTAAATTCTTCTATCAGCACATCTCAAGTCCTAACATGTGTCTTTATAGGCAAGTCTTAAACATTATGATATCCACAAATGCTGATTAGATACTATCCTATCCTATTCATTTCTTGAATGTTTTTTCATTTTTTCTTCAGTTGATAGGAAACCTTCCTTTTTGTTCCATCTCCTCAGATAGAATTCTATTTTTTTTCTTTTCTTCTAGAAGAGAATTGAGGATGTCTTTTTCACACATGCAGAAAACCAAAACAAAACTAAACCACAAAGACTCACAGGTTCCCAGACACAAGAAACTCAGTTATTGCTCTCTCACCATCACATATTGGCAACAATCAGGATGGCTGGGAGACCTGCTTCTTGTCTTGTCCTGTCCTTTGCAAGTTGGACTAAAAATGTAAGAAATAAACCCCCACAATGATGTGATGATGTCATCATGGGCAGATTCTTATTTATTTCCTGCCCATGTTTTGCTTGCTTCTCATTCCTTCCTGTGTCTAAGGGATAGGTGTATGAAAACTAACATCCATAGAAAATGAGCACCTAAAAAGATCCTGTTTTTTATGAGGCTTCTAGAGGATGTTGCTTAATCCTCAGAAGACAAAAGAGCTAAATTCCCACAACATGGTTGACCAGATATAGTATTTCCATGATACAATTAACCTCCAGCTGACCCAGTTAAGCATATTGTGAGAATCAATCCTGTGTGTTTAGAACAGCATCAACTTGTCTTCGTGAACTACTAAATATCTGAGATTGCAGTCCTAAATTTATTCATCAAAGAATACATCCCACAAAGAAATTTATTTCTGTGTAAAGAAGTATGGAAATGTTGCTTTTATGACATAACACAACTTCACATCCCATATATTTTCTAAAACCCACACATTAGAAAGGTGTAAAAAGAATAAGTACACCTTGAGCTCTGAAAGAGAGCAAGGCATGTCCAGCCTACAAAAGTCTTTTATGGTAACAAATGGGTCTTGCTGAATTGTTCTTCCTTCCTTTTAGCAGTAACTGATGAAACCATGCTTGACAGGGCTCAAGCAAAGAGAGAGAGAAAGAAAGGAAAAAGAGCAGCAACTCTGTTTCCTTCTAGTCTGTGATTCCTCCATCCTTTCTCAAAAGTGATCCAAAGAGAAAAATGCACCATGTTAAAGTTAATACAAAAATATTAACACTTCTATCCAATTGTTGTATACTGTTATATCTCTACATTATAACTCTTAATACTGTACAGGTATAACATAATAAAAGGTGCAATTCTTTTAAAAAATTCACACACTGCATATTTTTATTATTTTATTTAAGTATAAACTTTTTTAAACACTTTACATAAATTAACTCCTCTGAGACTAATATTTGATGTACAGTAAATTGTAATTCATATAAAAATCCATAAACAACTTGTCTCACATAATTTACAAAAAAATCAAGCTTCCTTTGCTTCTCTGTGACAAGAATTCTATTTGCCATTTTCCCCAAGGTAAACCCCATGATCACCGTAAAATCCATTACCAAATTTTGATTGTAGAATAAATTGCTTGTGCCAGTGTCCTTTCAAAAAACACCACTGTTAAAGCCATTGGGGTGTCCATACACAAAAAGTTTTGTCCCCCTCTTAACATGAACAGAGATTATATACCACATCCTAGGCAAAGAAAGGGAGTGAGCAGGAGAGGAGGAGGAAGGGGGAGAAGGAAGAGGAGGAGGAAAAAAGACTAATTCTTGTAAGCAAAAGTCAACAATTTAGTAATATTTGGAAACACTGTTATCGCTTTCTTTTTTAGTTACTGGAATAGTCAGCCAGTTGGCAACTCTTTAGATCTTTTTTTTAGTACTTTCAGTCCAACTTGAGTGCAGCGATATGCATATGTAAACATATTCTTTAAAGCAGATCACCTTTAAGGTCATTCAGAAAAAAAACACAACTCCAGTTTTTCTTTTTAATATTATCATTCTTCTGGAAGGCTCTCTCTTTGTTGTAGAGTCCATTCAGATTGTGCTACAGATAAATCTGAGCAAAGATGTACATTTAGGCTCAAGTAATAATGCAGCAAACTATTTGGTCTCCCCTCTTAGAAGACACTGGCACAAGATCCGTCTCTTTGGCAAGCCAAACTCAACCAATGTGTTACCTCTTTCCAATCTCACTTTGCCTAAGAAACTGTATATTGTTAGCACTGTCAGCTAATTCGGGGTATTGCTCAACAGAGAGTACATAGTACCCATCATATCCTTGAACTTTTCCAGCACTCAAAAGTTGCCTCTTTTCCCCTTCTGTCCATAGCCTGGCCCCTTCCTCTCCATCTCTCACTCGTTGCTGTTCTCTGGCCCAGGCATTGGAAAGAGCCCTTTGCCTAGCCTGTTCTAATATCCGTGCCTTCTCCTCATCAAGCGTCATGCCATAGCGGACATGAAGAGCCAGTGCACCGTACTGCATTTCAACATCAGCAAACCTACGAGTCCTGCCATTCACTACAGTAGTGGACTGGGAAACTGTGACATTGATGCCATTCTCCAGTGCCTTCCGGCCACTTGTCAATCTCAGCGTGCCCAAGTCACTCTCGGGTGAGGTGGTTTTAATGAAATAATGTGTGTCCTTTCCCTCAACAGTGAAGTGCAGGTTTTCCAGGTAGTATGCACTATTGAGAACAGCTGCCACTTTGATACAATCTTCATTTGCAATGTTAAGCACATTGGTCTGTACTTTGCCTTGATTGACAGCAAGCATTACTCCTTTTCCAATCAAAGACTTCACAGTTGCAAACCATAACCAGGATTTCTCACTACCAGGTCTGCGCTTGCTGATCTGGACTTCTGCCATTTTTCCTAGGGATAGGAAAGCCTTTGCTTCCCTTGCCACTTCTTGTTGCACTCCAGAAATCGGCTGAAAACAAGAACAGACAGAATTTTTTTTTTTACAAGCCTATAAATTCCAACAGCCAAGCATTTATTGGCATGGTGCCTGCAGCTGACAACATGATATGCCACAATGACACTGCTGCAGCTAATTGAATTCACAGACTGGATTCCACTCTTATAAGTTCTATGTTGCTTGATATATTTCAATATTTATTATCATTTTTGACCAAAAAGTTTAAAAAGTAGCACAGAATGACAAAGAAAAAAACACCAGCCAATCAACTATTACTTATTGTGATCATTAACCAATCAAAATAAAATTAGAAACACTGAATGCAGAGATCTGCTATGCTTCACTAGTTTTTATATCAGTCTTTATTATGTTAATTTATATACCATGAAATAGTACAAAAATAAAACATTGTCGAGATAGGAAGATGAATGCAAAAAATTGATTTGCTGAAGAATTAAAAACAAAGACATCTTTGGTGCATACTTATAATGTAAATAATTACCAAAATAATTATTACCTGTATTCCTATCAGTAATTTTCTAGAAGTTTCCTTTAGTGATTTTCTCATTGCAAAAATGAAAAAAAGTTTATCATAAGACTCTTATGCTTGTTTATACACTTGGTTCAATTATATTTGGTATTATCTATTTATTATCAGGCCTAATTTTTTTTCATATGCTATAACTTTATTCAGAAAGGGAATATGATATGATATATGATATGATATGATATAATATATAATGTATTAGATGCAGAAACTTGCGATAAACTTCGCTACAGGAGAGCAGTGTCCGTACCCTTGGGCTGCAAAAGAATGTGGTAGTAGCTTTGGGCCACTACTATCTTTTTACCTACCGTAATCTATTTCACAGTAATACATTGCATTTCAACTGCTAGATCTGTGAAATAATTTTCCCCACTGGCTTAATGTTCTACATCTCTAATTTCTTTTAGGAAATGTGGTAAGATACACAACTTTTGCCTTGCTTTGGATTTAGCAGGAAGTATCCAGATATACCATTAGGACACAAAGGTTTGTTTTTGGATATTCATGTCACAATAGAAATTCAGAGGTTTTAGAGATGCATGCAGATACATACTACATGAATTTCTTCTCTATTTTCTTTCTTGTATCCTCTTTTATGACTTCATTTTGTACTTATTCCTCTCTAATCTCTCTTGTCCACTGTTATGATAATGCCTTTGGGGTCTGCCTTCCTTCATTCTCTCATCATTGTGCACTGTATCTCTTCAACAGGGAAACGGGCATCTTGGATCACTGATGTGAGTGGCCCCATCAGTAAAAAGCCCCAATGATCTCATCATTACATCTTGCCTATATTTGATCTTGAACAAGATCTGAGAGAACTTGTGAAATGAAGAAATGAGCTATGAATAAGGAGAAAAGGAGCAAGTTCTCTACAATATTTTTACATCAGAAATTCAAATGTATTAAATAAGTATCGATAGCAGCAATTGCACCAGATAACGCATCCCAAGATTTAATATCCATTTTGGGGGAAGGCCTTGGGTGAACCTTTCATATCACTTATGTTAGTTTTTGCACGCAGAGGAAGGAAATTATACATATTTTTTATAATGATAGGAACAAGATTTCTACTGTAAAAACATCAACACAATGTTTCTGGATTTATGTAACATATGAAATTATTTTGACTCTTTTAATTTTAATAGCTTGGTAAATCACAGAGATCCTTCGGAATACAGCTATTTAACAGCTATTTAACGTTTGTAATTTGCTGCTGGTACTGAGAATTTGATGATAGATGGATTTTTCATTTCTGAATAAAATTTATAATTGCTATTTTCCTAAATGGTACATATGACTTTCTATTTTACATTTCATAGATTTTTGTAAATGATTTAGTTTTATACTTCTGTTTGGAAATGTATTTTTTAAAACAAGAAGTTTTACAGAGTTTCAACTCTATATAATGTAATACATTTTACCTGGAGTGATTTTATATTCAATATTTTATCTTCACATATAAAACACGGTTAATATTAAAGACAAGTAAAATTGTACTGCTGTACAATATGCATAATTTATATCACCTGTTATTCTGTTTCTTTCACATTCTATTTTTTATTACATTGTTCACTTTTAGCCTGGAGGGAGGGTGCTGCTATCAATCCAATCTCTATAGCTTCCACTGGGAATGCTATAATTCGGGGGGGAAAGGATTTTAAAATACTATTATTTATTGATTAATCATTTCTTCCCTCTCACTTCAGTTTAGGAAATGTTAAAATTTAAGTTGAGTCTTTAGTTATTGGAAAAAAAATTCCTACAGAATTAACATCAGTTATATAGCTTGGGGACAAAAGTGTATCAAGAAACATCTCTACAATGTTTTATTTTTTTAAAATTAAAGGTATGCTTCTGATGATTTTTCAATACTCTAATAGAATCTTTTATTATATTTTCTTGTAGTTTAATTTTACTTATATTTTTCTTACCGGTACATCATCCCATTGCTGACTCTTCACAAGTTCATAGGAGGGTTCAGTTAAATCAAATTTAGGCACAGGGAAACCTGGGATCGCATTGTGTAGATGAAAACCAAATGTCACCAGCCAGCTGTTAACATCTAGAAAGCAATTATAAAGTTAGAAAAATATCACATGTCCCTCAATATGTGATTGAATTTAGTGCAGCATAATTTGAATGAATGTCGGTGAATTGGATAATGCTCTGAGCTTTAAAATATATTTGGAGGAGAAAATCCATGGCAGGGCTATAGTTTATTTGTTTAAAGGTTGTCTTCATTTATGTACAACTAATGACCCATAGAAAGAAATGTAGTGAAGCTATTTTTTCAATGCACTATTTATACAATCCAGGATAATCTGAAGCAATAATCTGTGATTCCTTGGATTACAGTGACAAATACTATAGATGATTCCATGTGATCCACACAATTAAGTTATCTACTTAATAAACATAGGGACAGCACTAGATCTTCACTCCTCACAATTTCAACATTATAGCAAGAAATCAACAATAATTTTTCTTGAGTTTCATATGAATTCAACTATTGCAAGACAGCAAGGAACAGAAGAAACTATGCGGGAAGAATAATGCTATGAACATATGATCATGACTATTGCAAAAAAAAGTATTTGGACATCTTTTAGAAAAAAAAAACCTCTTCAGTGAATAAGGTCTTAAACATCCTAATTTGGAATATATTTGGTCTTCTGACATAGTTCCAATTATGTAATTCCACAGTGCAATTGTGTCTTAGCACGGAAACGGCATTGGTCGCGTTGGTTAATGATCTCTGGAGGGCCCGGGACAGAGGTTATTCCTCTGTCCTTGTTCTTTTGGACCTCTCAGCGGCTTTTGATACTGTAGACCACGGTATCATGCTGCGGCGTCTCGGTGGGTTAGGAGTGGGAGGCACCGTTATGCGGTGGTTCTCCTCCTTCCTCAC